CATCTCCGTGCTCGGTTTCGTTCTACGCCGTAAAATTTTGCGGAGCACGTCCACAAGAGTAGACGCAAGTATGTAGTTGTAACTCAATCCCAAGCTTCGCGTTTACGTGTGTAGTTGTTAACTTTCCTGAATAAAAAATAATCCCTCGTCATTAAATTGGCTTATGAACGTAATCGGAAACAAATTTGAATATTTCATTCCCCAGACCGAAGTAACATGCATGATATTTCCTTGTAATTATTCAATCACAGTACTAATGAGAGTCGATGAGGAATACGCAGAGTTTGTATGTTTATTCAATTCGTGCGAGTCGAGTGGCTACATGCGCGCGTACTTGACATTTTCTCGCGAGGATGACGTCAGACGGAATCGTTTAAATTAGATAGGTCAACGATTGAAGGAAGACGGGGAAACTCGTCTGTTTTTTCTCGTCGTTTCTGATCGTTTTGTTCGACAGCGTCGGGGAACATCGTATACGGCAACAATATCGCGACGCAACTAAATGACGCGATCATAACAGATTATCTGAGCAACGTCATAAGTCAACTGGGGAGTGCTGGGACCTTCTATCGCACTCAGACAGGATGTAACATTGAACTTAACTGGCTAATAACCTCCGGCTATGTCCAATCTATAGACAAACTTTTCATCTTTCGATGCACGAGATGTGTTGCGACGTGTCGAAACGACGATGACTTCTTTTTTTTTTTTTTGCTTCTACCTAATCGATCGACCTGATCTTCGAGCCAGTTCATTCTATTCACGAGCGATATGTCTGACGCTCGATATAATGATCGTTTATCATTTTTCGTACGTGTAGAAATTGGCCAGAGCCAATGCGCGATGTCTCGTCTGACAATGTTGCAGTGAGCCGCGCGTGATCGTGGCCGATATTTACCTTTTTCATTGCTATCTGTACGTGCAACAATGTGACAGAAGCGTTCTGTCTATCTACCCAGGCTCACGTGTAACACGTCTGTGGTTAAACACTCGTCACGTTTCTCTTGTTAATAAAAAACGACACGCGTGTGGGTACGCTAAGTATGACAGATGACGAGGGGGCCAGCCTCATAAACGATTTGCGCGGGACATTCGCGCGCACAGAAGCGACGAACGGTGCAATTTTCGCAGTGAGAAGCGATCGGATCTGGTGGGTCCGATAGAAATGTGGAAACGTGCTCGAGAAGAAAGTTTGGCCGATCGTCTGATCGAAAGATTGTTAACAAAATATAAATATCATACCGTACGTGTCATTTCAACACCGTCTGTTAAATGCACGATAGCTTAATACTAAATTTCTTCTCTCGATAAATTATTTCGAAAATGTAAAAATAGATGGAAGATAATTTTCCATTTTGTCTTTAATCACTACGTTCTTTCCTCCGTGATAAAACCTCCGTGAGCCGAAACGATTCAAAGAAAGTGTTAAAACCTATTGTGAACTCGATCGTTTTCAATCTTTTCTACACAATCGCAATCTCCACTTTCGTTTCGTTAGTTCACTAAATACCGATTTAACAGTCGGCAGCGCGAAGTCGCGCGTTTCGTTGGGAAAAATTGGCAAACAGGCGGATTAGCGTTGGCCAAGCCCTCGTAAAAACTCGATTTCCGGGCGAACAACCGTTCTTCCGGCGATCCGGTTTACCCACCCTTTATCCTTTTTCCGGTATTTTTATCACTCTCCCCCCCCCCTTTTTTTTGTTCCTCTCCTCTGCTTTTGTTTTTACGTTCGGTGTGGCATCCGAGAGGATCAGCGCTACCGCTTCCGTCGATCGTAATCGCCCGCGATTTAACAAACCGCGAGAAACTCGTCGATGTAAATTCATCGACGAGTCTCGCGGCGAACTGGATCGAGAGCCAGCTTCCGGGATCGAATTCTTTTTTTTTTTTTTTCCCATTTATGCACGTGGAACTGTTCCAAACGTCACGGCCACTTCCGCCACGTTATATTTATTTTTCCTCCCCTCTTGCCCATTTTCATTCCTCGTGCCTACTATCCTCTTTTTCTAGTTTCTGTAAACTTCGCGCCACTTGCGGCGATTGAAGTCGCGAATCGTTTAACCGGAAATATCGCAGTTTTTTTTTTTGTTTTACACGTTCACCGGTTTACTACGAAGACAATTATTCTATTCTGAACGATTGGAATCTGCTTTTTCTTTCGAAAAGAGTGATATACAACTCCGTGTTTCTTAGGTTATAATTCAAACATTTCTCTATAGTGGTGACGTTAAATTTAATTTAATATCACTAGAAGTATGATCAAAAATATTAGGATTTTTTTCTCAAAAAGATTTAACACTGAAATGCCCTAATTTTATTTCATTTCTAACGAACAATCTTCACCCTGATTTTCCTTGATTTATCCTCTCCCACGATCAATCTATCTTTAACCGAACCCAGAAGTTTTCAAAAGCAAAAGCAAAAGAGGCTGCGATCACACGTGTATGATCGATCATGGTTTTAGAACACGTTTATTTTCACACAGTGTAGCGTCTATCGTCTGGCGTTCAGAAATCGTAATGGCGCTTCCTCTGGTCCGATCTACACATCTGATTTAACGTCAATATTTGACGAGGTGAGTTATATTTGTCCAATAGAAGGTAAGGATCTTAGGTAAGATTTGCTGATAGACGACAATACAGCGTGATAACATATACGCGATTAGATTAATAATACTGCCTCTCAGTGTCGTTCGTAAATTTCGCAATTAGTCGGCGAAATTTACGTTTGGTATAGAGGCAATTCAGTTAATCAGCATGTTATTAAAAGTAAAATATACTGGCGTCACTCTTAACTGGATGTGACACTTCGATAGTACTCGCTGGACGAGATAAATCAACGCAGAATCTTGAAATAATGAAATACGATGAATTCTCTTTCCATCTAATTATAACTATTCTATTCTCTGAAACTAAATTATTCTGTAGAGAAATTTAATTTAACATAAATTTCTATTGATCAGGACATAAAGACACAAATTTATATAAAATAACGTAATTATTCTTATTGTTCTATCTGTACTAATAATTTTTCGGCGTAGATGAGACAAGGTGCCACGTATATTTAGAAAAATTATATTTTGCTTAAATTTTTCAACATTTCAGGAAATTCTCTAGGATTTGTCACAATCACGTTTTATTAATCTATCGTGAACAATTTCTCTGTACGTCACATGTAATTAAAAGGAATTACACCTCGTTCGTTTAATTCTTAGAACTGCCAATAAAAACGCGTTCTTTTAACAATGTAATTAACAGCTGAATTGGGAAGTTTTTTGGGGAAATATGGCGTCAATGAGAGGCTTCTTAACCCCATTTTACGTATGAATGAAGTCTTTAATTAATCAGAGAGCTCGCTGCCACGGTTTATTGACGAATGCAGGTCCTTTCATCCGAAAGTTTGCCAACGCGGCCGACATTCAAATATCGCGAGAGAAAATTTCCTTTAACATTCGCTGCTACGTTTGAACGACTGAACGGAACTCGATTCTCCTTTTCTTCCCTTCTCTTCAAAGTTTCTTTCTCTCGCGAAGAATAAGAACGAATATAAAATTACAATGCTGTTCTCGTTCTTGGACGTTCTTTTCATTATGTTTTTAATGATATTCGTCACATTCATGGCATTGTCATTTTGTTATCGCTCTCTTTCCCGGAAGCAATTGAAATTCTAAAAGTTTAAAAGATTAGTCCGCGTACTGAATGTATTGTCGTCTATGCGACGTATTAGAGAAAATTTTTGTTCTTGGTATCATTGCCATTAAAATTGCTACCGAGAACGCGATATTTTCTATTTAATTTCTTCTATTAATCTCGCTGCATTTTTTTATCGTTCTTTGATTCGAACCTTTAAAAATATTTTAGATTCACAAAAGGATCTAATATAAATGAAAATAAACTGAACATCATTGTAAATGACTTTTCTGTTCAATTTCATGTTAAATAGTTTCTTGAAAAAAGAAAAAAATGCAAATCTGTTTTATTTGCCAGAATGAAATCAGGATTGAAATATGAAAATTCGAGGATCGCAGTAGGGAGAAGGGTTAAACGAAGATTAATGTCATTACGCGAAACGAGCAACCAATAACAATACCTAAAATATGGAATTGGTAATCACTAATTAAATAACTTGCATCTTTGTTTATAGTTCCATTAAATTCTCTGAAACATTCCAACATTATGCAGCTTTATCTCGGTAAATACCCAGCGATTTTCTTCCGAGCAATTAATCATATACAATCACCTGTTCCAAATGCATAATAATGGCATCTCTAATCTTCGTTTCAATAATAAATTACTAACGCAGTCGCGTTGACGGTAACCAACAATAAATATCGATTGTACGTTCATGGTCTTTTTAAGAATGGCTAGATACACTTTCATTTTATTTCTATTTTATATCTCCGAGATTTTTTCATTATATTTTCATTAAATCCGATTAAATTTCCAACTAATTCACTCATTTTGATAAAATAATTTTAATTTAATTTAATTTCAATAAAATATTTTCCATCTACTATTGTCAAAGCAAAGCAAAGACAAAATTTTCAAGAATCCTTCGCAACAATTTAAGGAGAAGTCTAATGAAATATTCTCCGATTAATATTATCGAATGAGACAAAGTCTAGACAACATTTTCAAAAATCGTTCGCGGAAGCTTCGGAATAATTCGAAGCGACAAGCTTTAATAGTTCCAGCCAACGTCATCGAACGAAACAGGGTCTAGAGTACAGAATTTTCAAGAGTTCCTTGAAATAGCCATGGAATAGAAGAGAAGTCTACTAAAATATTTTCCAGCTAACGTCATCCGGCAAGACGAAGCCTGGACAAAATTTTCAAGAGTTTCTTGCAACGATCCTCGGGATAATTTAAAAAGAGACATCTAGCGAAATATTATCGAGCAAAACAGAGTGCAAACACACTTTTAACGAGTTCTTCGCGATAATTCAAAGAAAAAGAAGAAGAAAAAGAAAGAAAGAAAGAAAGAAAGCTTGGCTTACTCACCAAGAACGCAGAACAGGGCCAGTATCCAATGCGTCAGCTCTCCCATCACGTCGATCGTTTCTGAAGCACTGGATCAAATGAAGAAGAAAAAGGAAAAATACAAACAAGAAAGAAAAAAAAAAAAAAAAAAAGAGGAGAGATAAAAGACGAAAACGTACGTTTACAAGTTCTGTTTTCGATTTGCGTGAAGCGTAACGCTTTCACTTATATTTAGGCGGCACAGCAATAATAGCACCGGTCCACGTTGAGGAAGGGAGGCACTGGAGAAAAGAAGGAAAAGCACGAACGGAGGAACGGCGACGTTCCGCTAGTGGTGTTCAAATCGCTGACAGTCCGCGGGGCCAATCGGCAGGGTTCCCCTTCCTTCTTCCGGTACCAAACCGACCATTCACGGAACCTCCCTTCGAAACTATTTGATTTCAACACTCAGTTCAACGTTTATTTTGTCGGGACAACGTGCGTGTGCCTCTCCAAACTGCGCGCCGATCTTCCTCGACGGAGAGTAATGATCCAAGGTTCGAACTCTTATCTCGATTCCGCTGATAAGAAATCTGTTACATTATGTTTGCATTATGTTACATTGTCATTTGTGACGTACTCGGCGAGAGAAAATGAAGTTTCAAGTTTACTGTGACACTAAAGGGATGATATATTTGTGAGAATTCTTAAGTGGTCTTGAAAACTTTGCGTCTTACACGCATTATATCTGTATAGTACGATTTTCAATGCGTTTTCGAAATAAAGTAGATTGATCGTCATATGAATTCTTACTCAATAATCTTATCTTGATAATACTGCATCAAACAGCATTGAGATAAGAGATTCGTTGTATTTTAACGAATTGCAATATGATAAAAAATGACATTGAAATTAATCGTGAAACTAAAAGAGTGACAAGAACATTTAATGATTAAAGTCAAAATCTCGGAGATCTAACTTGCACTCGCGGTCCATTAATGTAAATGAAATTGAAGACACACAAAATCAGTTTGTAATCGAAGGAAGCACTGCACGTGGAACGTACGCTTTTCGACGACCGAGCAAACAAAATTGAAATGCCCTGATCGAATCGGGCAACCCTCTGACATTGGAGAACAATTCCGTTCTTTTTAGTTAAAAGAAACACTGGACATAGCTGGCTCGTGAAAATATTGCGAATGTATTATACATATTCACTTGAATGTTTCATGGAACTGTTTTTTAACGATAAAACTATACATGTAAAATAATTATTCATACCAATTTTTTTCACTAAATAAAAATTTACAGTAAACGTTTCGTACGAATTCCCAGCTTTGAAATTTCGTCACAATATGGTCGCAAATGACAGTAGATATTTTACTTTCGGGAAAAGCGAATAAATTTATCGACTCAACCTCGAAATGATTATTTTTCTAATTCTCCATTCTATGCTACTGAAATCCCTTATACTCCTTCGAAGCAACAAATCGAGTCACATTTTTGAACAAACGCGCCCGAATACTTTCGCGAGCCACCGGATTTCAAAACTAAAGAGGACAGAATTCCGACGCCACTGACAAAAACGAACCCCCGACGTCCGTGTTCACGCACTTGGAATACTCTCGACTCGGTTCACGGTCGAACAGTCAACCTCCCTCGCCGCCGCGAACTGCGTGCACTCGCACGAGGAGTCGAAGATCCCGACGACGGGGATTGTCAAGCGTGTTCACACAACTAGTTCCTACGGACTTGGACGCATATCTCAACGCAGACCTCGCGGTTCTGCGTGTAGAATAACACGCGCCGTGTTTGAACGACGGAGAAACGAAAGGCAGCAGGGCGACTGGTTCACTCTCTAATCCTCTGTCTCGCTGCCGGTCGTCTCCTCCGTCCGCCTCCGCGTCTTCCTCCACCGCCGCCTACTCCACTGACACCGACGTCGGTGTCGTCGTCGACGAACTCTTCCCCTTCTACTCAACCAGCTTGTTCCCGTCTTCGCGTGTCGCCGAGGATACGCGATATTTTTGTATCCCCGATCGCGGAGGCGGCCGCCGCAGGTCTACGCGGAGGTGAACAGGCCTCGAAGAACGGACGAGTACGAACCCCCTTGTTACCCTTTCCGGCAAATGCTGAATCTGTCACGCTGCACTGCTGATGGCCTTTGAACTTTCTCCTTTTCTTTTTTCTCCTCTCTTTTTTTTTACCGTCATCTCCTTTTGAAGACGACGAAGGAGATAGGTTAGGGGTGAATCGAGTTACAAGATGGAAGTTTCGTTCGCTGGAGAACGTTTTCGTTTCCAGTCGACTTTTCGATAATCTCCTTTGAAAGCTTCGTCAGATCAGACAGATAGCTGGAAAATTGTGTCGTTGAATTCGTAACACGACAAAGTTGTCAGTCAGGGAATTGATAATTGTGATATAGAACCATTACATTTCCTGTATTTCAATGTACAAAGTGGCACGAGTAGTATTGTGCACGAATTTCGAATTGACTAATAATTAGCCAAGCAACCAAGCGTCCTGTACACGGGTCATTTCTGATTGGTTATTAACAGTTAGCCGGCGGCATGACCATTAGGGGGATTCGGTCGGCCATCAAAGGGATTTGTTACTACGATGTCAATGGACATTCTCCATTCCCCATGGCCCTAATTAGCGCGCCAAGCAGCTGCGCCTGATTTGCATTATCGAACAATAATTCTACTCGACTTCTACGTGAAATGTCCGATAGCTACATAAGAGTACGCAGCTTCGTGCACAAGTATCGTCTGTATTTCGTCCTTTAAACGTCAAATGCAAATTTTTCCACGTAAAACAGACGAAACTGTAATTTCTACTCGCTTGCTCTTATCCTTCGACGTTGAATCAGAGATTTCACATGCTGAGAAAGCAAGCGTATTCCATGCGGGAATGTGGGACAAAGATAAAGAGACAAGGATCAGAGTTTTCCATCTTGAGTGCAAAGATCTCGAGATGAAACATTAAATTTACATTTTAATGAGAAATTAATTTATACGAAAAAAAAACGTGGAGGATCGATCAGCAACGAGATTGTGATTAAAGTATTATCATCATTTATTTATTTCATTGATTCATGACAAAGTAATAATCACATAAAGCTGTTAAAAGTAAAACCCCCGGTTATCACTAAATCGTGTATTGTATTTACAAGTATTAATTAATTATAGTTCGCGTCGAATGAGTCCGCGCGCGCGCGACGCGCTCATCATCGTTTCACATTTTAATTTTATTATTTACTTTTTTTTTTCTTTTCTCTCATTCGCCTGCTCTCCTCACCTCACTCCTCCGACCAACGATAAATATATAATATATATAATTTTTGTTTCTTTTACATCATTTTACCGGCGTCTCTGTCTGTTATCGCTCTGCTTACAAAAATTAGATAAGTAAAGCTAAAAAACTGTCTTTTCTTCTATCTTCTCTTCTTCACTATCTTTCTCGATTCTTTGACAAAAGCGCACGTAGAAATTGTCGCTCGTTTTTTTTTTTTTTTTTTTTTTATTTCATTATTATTATTTTTTTTTCTTTTTTCGTTCACTCTCGCTACTCACACTATCAATCATTTTCATACAATCATTCTCTCACTCTCTTTCTCTCTCTTTCTCTAACCCCCTTTTTTTCTGTGGCGTAAGAAACGATATTATTGGTACCCAAAACCCCATTTTAATGAAAATCCTTCAAATAAAATACTCTAGTTAACAATAAATTATTAAATATCTATTCACAAATATATGTATAGGCTAATTATCGTTTGTTACTATCTTCATCACCGTCGAATCTATCCTCGTCCATCGCCATATTAAATCATCGGCACTCTTTCGTTACTATTATACGTACAACTTTTTCTTTTTCTTTTTTTTTTCTTTACACAGGACAACGGACTACTATGGTTTCCCTGTCGTTTCTTTTTCTTTTTCTTTTGCTTGTAAGTATAATATATACATATATGTATATATTTGTATACATATAATTAGCAGCAAAATAGAATTGTTTTGTTCGATCCATTTACTCTTACAGAAACGTAGGAAAACGAAGATTACCGCTCGTTGAATTTCAGGTGAACTCGTTCACGCACTGAAAAGTTTCGTCGTTCTGTCCCTTGTTACCGCTCTGTCGAAACGATACTCTCCCTCGAGAGAATTCAAATTTCTATAATCGTTCGTTGTTCTTCCCCTCAGTTCTTTCAATTACGTCAACTGTAAATCTAAATAAATGATTTCTTAACAATCAGGTCTGTAATAAATCTAAATAAATAATTGTATTTTATTTTCGATAAAAATTGCGAAGATTTTGAAAATAATCTTTCCTCTAGGATGAAACTCTGTTTAAAGAGGAAGGAGTTTTAAACAAAATCGCTTCGGAACATGTCGGTAACAACGAACGTCCACGAACGAATGACAATTGCAACTACGTTAAGGGTTAATGAAACTCTCAGAAACGCGTGTAACGTACGAGAACTTGATAATCGAGACGTCTGTCTTTCCCTCGTCAATTCTCGCGTTATTAAGCATTTTGTTAAAAAAAAAAAAAAGAGAGAAAACATACGCAAACACGTGTACCTCTGTGTATATGAGTGTAAATTCTATGGTGTCTTGCTTCCGTTCCGGGGATGAACGCTCGAAAAGGATGAGCTTCCTCGAGCGGCCATCCGGGCTCGAGGAACGTGAAAGGCAAGAGGCGTAAAATATCATTATGTAGTAATATATTAAGTAACTTTCTGGCCGTCTTAGTCATCGACTCGCTGATTGTTTGGAAAGTGGACGCGGGGAAATTCCTCGAGATCGGTTCTCGACAAACAAAGGTATTTCCAACTGCGGATAATCAAACGGCAGTCGAAATCCATGAAAAGATCGTCTCGTTCGTTCTCGCCGCACTCTTTCACATTTTCTCGTTACAAAAATACGCTCTGTAGTTGTCCCTCTCGACAAGTGTCTTTTCACGAAGGAACAGAAAGGCGTGATTTCTGAAAGAGGAGGACAAGAATCGCTCGCGAAGTTTTTCAGCAGGATGATGATACGGGCAGTGTTTCGAACGGCTCGATGTTCTTTGCGTGTTTCATTCATGCGAATTAGAGTAGAAATTTTCAAAACGTTTCATGCGAGCGTGTGTCCCCTTCATCAGGAATCGATGATTTTTACCTGACGCTATGAATTAACGCGTAGTCTTCGCAAAAGAAACAAATTCGAAAATTTTATTACTCCGTACAACCTCCCCCGGAACATTATGAAATTCGAAGTGATTTTCATTATTGAATTACTAACGTTTGGATTAATTTCCTATAAAACGAAACTCTCTCTCACAGAACAAAACTGGTTCTCCTCCAGATGATCAAGACCATCTTTCCAAGAACGATGCTCGTTATTTACGAGTGGCAACGCAGTTTCGCAGAAGGAGAGGACGCATCTCCGACTCGAGATCGAAACGGGTCTTGACGATTCGAATTTACAGTTTATCTCTCACGTAGCTCCACTCTCACACACATGCATTCTCTCTCTCTCTCTCTCTCTCTCTCTCTTTCTCTCCTCTTGCGCACATTCGTTGCAAAGCCTATACAATTACATACTCAGTAACCTCTATATAACTTTGCTTCTACGCCTCGTACACCCCGTATAGAATATGACTTTCTTCTTTTTACTTTTCACCTTTGAAATCTCTTCTTCTATGTACACTTCTA